TGGGTTATGGAAGTCCTTGCAAAGTGTGCCTTAACTAACCAGAAGGCTGGTGAATCAACCCCACCAGCCACTCTTCGGAAGGAAGATGGGGCAATCTACTTCCGTAGTGATACTGCCTCGAAAACCCAAGGAGGGGTCGCTATGAGTCGGGGTCGACTCGACGGCACATAACAACAACAACAACAACAAACTTATCTTAGAAAGTCAATGAAAAAGACGACCCTAAACGAGATGGATTGACAGTAGCAGCAATAATGGGCTCAAACGTGACAATGATTGTGAGGATGGCGTAGGACCAGTCAGTGTTTTGTTCTGTTGTACACAGGGTCACTATGAGTCAGAACCAACTCGAGGGCACCTAACCACACCTAAAAATTTGTCTTCTCTGTATTTCTAAGAAATGCAACCATGCCCTAGCATTTTCGTCTCTGGTTAAGTATCTGTACTATTCAGGGGTTATAGATTTTGCTTATAACCTCTTTCAGTTTGCCCTTTTAATTCTCTCCGTAAATAGCATATCTTGTCCTACCCCAGACCCTTGTCATTTTAGGTACATCCTCTGAGTTATCTGTCAGGTTCCACGGTTTCTTGTACCCTTCTCGATGGCATCCCACTTTAAGATGATTGGCCATTTGGGGCCACATCAGGACCGTGTGCACCAGCATTTTCAGAGAACCATATTTAATGACTCAGGTTCTCTTTCTGCGTTTGAGAGCTCAGAGCTCTTGCTTTTGTGGACAGTTTCCTGAAAAATTCATTATCTTGTACTTTCCCACGTGAGTATCATTTACTTCCTGTCTACTTAGCCTTGTGCTCTTAAACTTGAAAGACCTTCCTACGGTCTGGCTTCTCTACCTCGTTTCTTTCCTGGAAAGTTCCTATCTCCTCAAACAAAGAACTTTCTCAGTAGACACCCTGTCCTTCAACCTTATCACAAAAATTGTTAAATACGCCTGGCCTTCATACCAATCCCTAGGACCCTGATGTTTATAACTTTCTCTATTGATTCAATAAATAATTAACATCTGCTTTGTCTCTGGTGTCGTCGTGCCTAAAGCATTTGACTGCTAACCAGAAGGCTGGCGGTTCAAACTCACCAGCCACTCCTCGGAAGGAAGACTGGGCAATTTACTCCCGTAGTGTTACTACCTTAGAAACCCAAGGAGGCGTCACTATGAGTCGGATCCGACTTGATGGCAGTGAGTTTGGTTTTTTTTTTTTTTGAGTTGTGAAGGCCCTAGGCAAATTACTATCATCCTATCCTCCAAATTTTAGTTTTGTTTTCAATCCAATATGAAATTTGTTCAAACTTTTCAAACTGACTTTTACTAACATACCTATTACCTTCCTCAAAGAATGCTAGTACATAAATAGAATCTCTAAAATTGAAAATGGCCTAAAGGTCTAATGCAACCTTCCAGCCAGTACAAAATTCCCTTAACATTTCTAAAGGTTATTACCCAACTTGTTAGGCATGTCGTGTTCAGACAGTTCCTTCCATTTGGGACTGATTGATGCTAAGAAGTTTCTCCCTATATCTAGTTGCAACCTACCTGTCTTCCCACTGGTCTGAGGTTCAGTTATTTGAAGAAAACTCTTCCCAAGTCCTTGAGGGCTTTTCTTTAACATGCAGCATGGCTTCCAGACCCTTTACCAGAAAAATATAGGGTGCTGGAATCACTCATAATACTCTAAATACTGTTCCCTATGATTTAAGAGGCTGTTCCTCTAGAAGCCATGATTTTTCCCCCTGAGGTACACTAAAGCCTCCTCTGGCTTGGTGAAATTTCTAAGTCGTTATCACCAGAGCTCATCTGAAGCTGTTCTCATAAACAGTGGTCCTATTTGCGAAGTAGGTGGATTGTGCAGTAGTCCCATTTGGTCATCCTGTATACTTTCAGAACTCTTGGGTGAATGCATTCTAACTCCAGAAATTTACCTCTCTATATAGTTCATCTTGATAAAACATCTGGTGAATTAACCAACTTACCCATTTTAAGAACAATTTGTTCATCTCTTTTCTGCCCCTTAGTTTACCCTTTGGGCCTCTTATTAAGGGTCTTCCAGATTCTAGTATTGCTGGTTAGTGTCCTCTCTGTAAATGTGTTTCCCTATTTAAAATACTTAGCACATGGCCTGGCATATAGTGAATGCTATATGTTATTACATGAAGGACATCCTCTGTGGGTTATGGAAGTCCTTGCAAAGTGTGCCTTAAAATTCCTGTTTTGATTGATTTCTAGCTTGCATACTTTTGGGTATTTATTTTTTGTGAAAAGTGACCTTTTCCTTACAGTGACCTTCCTGGATTCTGCCAGTAGTCACACGGTTTCTCACAGCAGCTGCTATCTTTTATTCCAGGCACTTTTTTTTTTTTTTTTTTTTTTCCTGAGACTCCAGGAAGATGTGTGATATTTTCACCTTTTACTGTTGTATCTTATGAATTTTCTACATTTACCTGAAAAACTCCCCTTTAGTAGCAAGACTTCTCATGACCTCAAAAATTATTTCCAAGGACAGCTTAGCTTGGTTCAAAAGCAGACTGTTTCATTTTCAAATTAAGACTTTTGGATGGTTAAGTTTATGCAGAGGCCTAAAAAATCTCTTCCACAAGTATCTCTGGCACTGTGAAGTGAGCTCTTTAGAAACCCACAGCAAGACCCTGCCTCCTGGGGTCTGCCACCAACATCAACAAATGCTGCTGTTAATCACATTGTCCCTTTTGAGCTGGTTCCTGAGGTCTTCAAACCTGTGCTATTAAGTTATTTATTGTAATACTGAAGAGACAATGGTATTCCAGAGAGGAACCATAAATGAAATTGAAATCCAATGCTGTGATGAGGAATTAATAAGATTTAGCTTTCTTTTCAGCAAGCCCAGTACGCACATAACAAAGTTAAAGCAATTTATATTTGCATTTTAACATTAATTTTAAAATTGCTATTTTATTGCTATTAACTGAGTATTTCTAATTCTTAACACCTATCAAAACACAATTACATAAATCTTTTCTTCAGAAAGGATTGTTAACAAGTGAAAATAAGTAACACAGCACCTTGATTTAGTAATAAAAAGCTCTTCTCAACCAAATAGTAATAGTCTACCTTCGGGCTTTTTCTTGGCTTTGTTGATATTCTCCTTTCAAAGCAAGCTGTCACTCATTATTTGGGCTCTACAGGCTCTATAAGCAGAGGAGAAAAAGACTGGAAAGTTAAACATAAAGTAAATTTATTAAATTAAATATTGAAAATGTTCATGATAGTATGCTTCTTTTTTCATCAAAATCATCTCCAGAAGAAGAGAGTTCAATTGCTTGCAAAGGCCATAATCTGTTCCTGGAGAAAAAGGAAACAAAGTGAGTGGTCCTCAGACACTAAACTGACACCTCAACACAGCTGCAAGATCCAGAAAAGGGCAGGAGGAGAAAAGTCATTCAAATGAAATCCCCCAAAGTCCCACAGGAAGTATTCTCCCCTCAAGAGTTCCTATACTGTTTTAGCTTAAAAAAAAAAAAAGTTTTAAATGTCTTTAAACGGGAATTTCTCAGGAGAGTAGTTGGCTGAGCAGCAAAAGGAGTTTAAGCATCTTTATCTTGAAAAGTCCCTATTCCCTGTTTTTAAGTCCTTCCTATATATAAAGCCACTGCTTAGACCTAGGCCCTGTCAGCAAGCCCAGCAAGTTCTTTTTTGCTCATAACTACTAGAGAGGATACACAGATAAAGATGGTAATTC